AAATATATATTGTTAGACATTGTTATAGAAATGGTGTTGAGGTCAAAAAATTTGAACATAAGGCAATTCTATTATTAAAAATCAGCTGATAAGACATGCCGGCAGAATATTTAATACAAGTCATTCTTTACTGCATTGAAACTGGGTTGGGCATATAAAAAATTGTATAAATAGAGATTGAAAATAGAATTGGAGTTAAAAAGAATGAACAAATATATATTGTTGAACATTGTTATAGAAATAGTATTGAGGTCAAAAAATTTAAACATAAGGTGCAATTTTATTATTAAAATCAGCCGATAAGAATATTTAATGAAGACATTCTTTACTGCATTAAAATTGGGTTGAGCATATGAAAAATTGTATAAATAGAAATTGAAAATGAAATTGGAGTTGAAAAGGATAAATATGAGCATTACCAAAATTAGCAAATATAAAGAATGCTTATAAAATATATTATTGAACATTGTTATGGAAATGGTGTTGAGGTTGAAAAATATGAACATAAGGCAAAATTTTATTATTAAAAATCAGCCGATAAGAAATGCTAGCAGAATATTTAACACAAGACATTCTTTACTGCATTGAAATTGGGTTGGGCATACGAAAAATTGTATAAATAGAGATTGAAAATGGAATTGGAGTTAAAAAGGATGAACAAATATATATTGTTGAATATTGTTATAGAAATGGTGTTGAGGTTGAAAAATATGAACATAAGGCACAATTAGCAAAAATCAGCAGATAGAAAATACTGGCAGAATATTTAACACAAGACATTCTTTACTGCATTGAAATTGGGTTGGGCATACGAAAAATTGTATAAATAGAGATTGAAAATAGAATTGGAGTTAAAAAGAATGAATATTAGCATTTATTTATTGTATTACCAATAATCACAAAGATAAAGAATACTTAGAAAATATATAAACTAGCATATAGCATTCATTTATTGTTAACGATTTGCGTAATGAGGGAGTTCTAGTGAAATATATGTTATTGAAATGAATTGGATGAATATATAATATTAATTTAGTACCAAAATTAGTAAAGATGAAATATTTCAAAGAACTTTTGATATTGGATATTATCATCAGAATGATATTGAAGATTTACAGTGATAAAAAGAACTAATAGAATATATAATGTTGGATATTCTTATAAGAAGAAATAGAATAAAAAGAATAATTCAAAATCTGCAGAGGTAGAGATATTGATAGAGCAAATATGGTTAGATATTATAATCCTGGGTAATTCTAAAAAACTAATATTATTAAACTGAACATTTTTTTGGCCCAAACTCTTTGAAGTTCTGATTAAAATAAAAATTTAATTTTTATTTTGATCAGAATTTAGAATAATTTAGGCCAAAAAAATATTCGGTGTAATAATAGTAGCTTTTTAGAATTATCCGGAGTTCCTGGATATTGTTATCAAAATAGAATATATTAATTTGTATGCATAATAAATCTTTAAACTTGATAGTATAAATTTGCGTGAATAATCATGATATTATTAAATTTTATTGATTTTGATATATAATAAATCTATAATAAATCTTTGAACTTGTTGATTGCATAAATTCATGTGAATAAACATGATATTGATAAATTTCTATTAATTTATATATGCAATATTGTTTATAATGATAGATTTGTTGATAGATTTATGCTTATATTTTACATGCATTAAATTATTTTCTATATATTTGGTCAAGGTTTTGTTTAGATAATGTAAAAAATCTCGATATGTCTTCATTATCTAATAACTTTATTCCTTCTTTAAAGTCTATTAAAGATATCTTATTCAATGAAAATGCATATATTGAATTTTTATTTAATAATAATATTTTATATAAACCTCAACGATGTCTATACTGTAATTCTTTTTATGTTGTGAAGCAAAACTTTTTAGATGCACCAATAAATTCTGTTGTAAATCTGTTTTAATCTTTAAAGATTCTTTTTTTGCAAATAGTCATTTAAAATGTTCAGATATATTATTTATTGGTTATCTTTGGCTTTGTAAAGCCACTTTTACCTGTATAATGAATATAACAGATTATTTAACCCATACAGTTACAGATTATATACATTTTTATAGAAATTTAGTTATTAATATGCTTGATGATTATAATACTATTATTGGTAGACCAAATATTGTTGTTGAAATAGATGAGTCTAAGTTTGGCAAGGTAAATATCATTGTAGTCATAAAGTAGAAGGTGTTTGGGTTGTTGAAGGTATAGAAAGAACAGATGAAAAAAATATTTTGTAGAAATTGTTCCTAATAGAACTGCAGATACTTTATATGAAGTACTTTCAAGATATGTAGTATCTAGTTCAACTGTATATACAGATATGTGGAGAGGATATGAAGGAATAGATGAAGAATTAGATGTTTCACATAGCACTGTTAACCATTCACAAAACTTTGTAAATTCTGAGACTGGTAAATATACAAATACTATTGAAGGCTTGTGGAATGGAATTAAAATAAGAATTCTATCTCGTAATAGAAACAAAGATTCAATAGAAGAACATTTGCTTGAATTTATTTGAAGAAAACTAAACAAAAATAATTTGTGGAATGCATTTATTGATGCTTTAAAAAATACAAGATATTTTGAATAGAATATTATGGTATATATTTATATTATATTAATATATTTATTAAAAATTATATATATATTTTGTATTATCAATTTAATATAATAAATTAAAATATCTATTGTAGTTCTACTATTATTATTATGTTTAAAATTATATTTTTATAAAGATTCTTTATTTTTGCTAATTTTAATAATAAATATTAAATATATTCATTTTTTTCAACTAAAATTCTATTTTCAACTACATATATTTATCCAATACACTTTTTATATTACTTTTGAATATTTTATTGTAACAAGAATATCTAACATTAAATAGTCTGTCAGCATTTCTTATCAGCTGATTTTTAATAATAGAATTGCACCTTATGTTCATATTTTTCGATCTCAACACCATTTCTATAACAATGTTCAATAACATATATTTTATAAGCATTCTTTATATTTGCTGATTCTTGGTAATACAGTAAATAAATGCTTATATTCGTTCTTTTCAACTCCAATTCCATTTCCAATCTCTATTTATACAATTTTTTATATGCCCAACCCAATTTCAATGCAGTAAAGAATATCTTGCATTAAATATTCTTATCGGCTGATTTTTAATAATAGAATTACACCTTATATTTATATTTTTCAACCTCAACACCATTTCCATAACAATATCTAACAATATATATTTGTTTATCCTTTTCAACTCCAATTCTATTTTCAATCTCTATTTATACAATTTTTTGTATACCCAATGCAGTAAAGAATGTCTTGTGTTAAATATTCTGCAAGCATTTTTTATTTGCTGATTTTTGATAATTGTATCTTATGTTCATATTTTTCGACCTCAACACCATTTCTATAACAATGCCCAACAATATATATTTGTTTGTTCTTTTCAACTCCAATTCTATTTTTAATCTCTATTTTTACAATTTTTCGTATACCCAACCCAATTTCAATGTAGTAGAGAATGTTTTGCATTAAATATTTTGCCAGCATTTTCTATCTCAACACCATTCTATAACAATATCCAACAATATATATTTATTTGTCCTTTTTAACTCCAATTCCATTTTCTATCTCTATTTATACAATTTTTTATATACCCAACCTAATTTCAATGCTGCAAAGAATGTTTTGCATTAAATATTCTGATGGCATTTCCTATCTGCTGATTTTTGATAAGAGTTGTGCCCTATGTTTACCTTTTTCAGCCCAATACTATTTCCATAATGATGCCTAACATTATAAGTCCTATAAGCATTCTTTATATTTGCTGATTTTTGGTAATGCAGTATTAAATGGTCATATTCGTCCTTTTCAACTCCAATTCTATTTTCAATTTCTATTTATACAATTTTTCATATGCCCAACCTAATTTCAATGCAGTAGAGAATGTTTTGTGTTAAATATTCTGCTGGTATTTCCTATCTGCTGATTTTTGATAATTGAGCCTTATGTTCATATTTTTCAACCTCAACACTATTCCATAACAATATTCAACAATATATATTTGTTCATCCTTTTTTAACTTCAATTCCATTTTCAATCTCTATTTATACAATTTTTCGTATACCCAACCCAATTTCAATGTATTAAAGAATGTCTTGTATTAAATATTCTGCCAGCATTTCTTATCGGCTGATTTTTAATAATAGAATTGCGCCTTATGTTCAAATTTTTCGATCTCAACACCATTTTCATAACAATGTCCAACAATAAGTATTCTTTATATTTGCTGATTTTTGGTAATGCAGTATTGAATGTTTATATTCATCCTTTTCAACACAATTCCATTTTCAATCTCTATTTATACAATTTTTTGTATGCCCAACCCAATTTCAATGCAGTAAAGAATGTCCTGCATTAAATATTCTGCTGACATTTCCTATTTGCTAATTTTGATAATTGTACCTTATTTTTATATTTTTCAACCTCAACACCATTTCCATAACAATGTCCAACAATATATATTTGTTCGTCCTTTTCAACTCCAGTTCTATTTTCAATTACTATTTATACAATTTTTTGTATGTCCAACCAAATTTCAATGCAGTAAAGAATGTCTTGTATTAAATATTCTGCTGATATTTCCTATCTGCTGATTTTTGATAATTGTGCCTTATGTTCATATTTTTCGACCTCAACACTACCATTTCTATAACAATGTTCAACAATATATAATTGTTCATCCTTTTCAACTCCAATTTCATTTTCAAACTCTATTTATATAATTTTTCATATGCCCAACCCAATTTCAATACAGTAAAGAATGTCTTGTATCAAATATTCTGCTGACATTTCTTATCTGCTGATTTTTGATAATTGTGCTTTATGTTCATATTTTTTGACCTTAATACCATTTTCATAACAATATCCAACAATATATATTTGTTCATCCTTTCATATTTTCATGATATTGTTTAATATTATATGTCCTATCAGTATTTTCTATCGCTGCTTGTTCATAATATAGAAATAATTATTATTACATACAGAGCAACATGATAACATTATTAAAAATTATAAAAAATTAATTGACACAGACAGATATTTAAAATTATGCAGTTTACTTGTAAGTTTATCTTTAGGGGAAATTGGCAGTTCAGTCGATAATGTTGGAATAATTATATTAGCAGACTGGAATGTTTTTAATATTACCAATTCATCTTTATTTTTTGCTACATTATAAATTCTAATAGAGCAACCCTATAAAAAATTTTATCTGAATATTTCTATTATTTCTCCATGGCCTCTGTAAAAATTCCATGAAAATGATACATTTATGGATATCCGTGTTAGGAAGATAAAATTTCTATGATCTAAAGTTTTAAATACCATGAAAATGAAATATTCATGGAAAAAATATGGAATAATCACAGGTAGAACTGTAAATCTTTTTTAAAAGTATTTTATTAAAAAACTTTTGTAAATAATAGTAAGTTAGTTCTAAAGTTTTTCAATAATAATTATCATTAAAAAAGCTATTGAATTACTATTAAAAAACCTTTGTATTTATTATC